TCAGCTACAAGCTGGGCTGACAGCTGTGAGTGCAGTGGTGGTGGCAGGACCCTATCCTGCCTCCTCGGCAGTGCTAGGGATGTCCGACAAGGAGCAGGCCTAAGCGGAGCGGGCCTAAGCCAGCAGGTGGACATCTCCTGGGGTCTCCCGGGCTGCCAGAGGGATGTCTGACTGCCAGCTTAGGTCCAATCCCCTGGGGAGCGGGCCAAAGTCGGCAGGTGGACATCCCCCAAGGAGTCCCCGACTGCGAATTTTCATGCACCAGGCTCTAGTAATGCAATAATTTAAAAAAAACAAAACACAAAAGCACCTACTATCTGGGTGGAAAAATGGAACTCAACTGAGCCTCAGGTCAAAGAAGAAATCAAACCCAAATTATAAAACACCCGGAGAAAAGACTACACATTAGAACCAATAGGAGGTAGCTAACGCAGTGTGCAGAGCATCCAGAGCCTTAATTTTTCCTTGTTATCAGTATAAAGATTTAAGCTCCTAAATAAATAAAAAAAAACAAGGAAAGCAGGAAGATTTTAATAAAGAGAAATGCATAAATTGATGAATTGGAAACCAGAAAGGGGTGATTACTAATAAATCCTAAATATGGCTCTTTGGGACAAGGAGGCAAATAACCTCATTTGCTAACTAATCAGAAGAAAAAAAAGAAAGAAAAAGGACACAAAATACACAAGTTTAAGAGATAAGGGTGAGTTAATCGTTTTAAAGGAATTGTAAATTATTTTGTCCAGCTTCATGCAAATAAATTTGAAGACCTGGGTAAAACGAATACTTTTCTAGAGGAATATAATTTATCAAACTCATTCAATAAGCAGAACAATTAAAACATAAATTATTACAGAAGAACCAGAGAACATTACCAAAGAGCTATCCACCCACCCAAAATAAATGCATGAGCCAAGACTGTGTAATGGGAGAGCAGCCGATCTGTTAAGGACAAAGCATCCATTTCTAGTTGGACTGCTACAAAGCTAGAGAAAGAGGGACGCCTTCATTCTCTTTATGAACGAGTGTAACACTGACAGCAAAGCCCAACCCAAACTGCTCGAACTGAAGACCACTCTCACTGATGACACTGAGGAAACTCCTAAGCAAGAGAGCTAGTCCAAGCTCTGAGTAGAATATTAAAAAGAAATATGCACCATAGGCAAGTGGGATTCAACTAGAATGCAAGGATGGCTCGATATGAAGAAATCTATATCGTTATACATATTAATTGATCACAGGAAATACCCATGTGATCATCTTCATAGATTTGGCAAACTTCAACTTCCATTCTTAACTTTTAGCATTCTTTTTTTTTTTTTTTTAAATCAATCTTTATTGTTCATATTATTACAAAGGTTCCTCATTTCTTCCCCCCTCCACCAGGTTCCCACCCCACCCTCCGTCCCCCCCCCCATCCCCCATTGTCCTCATCCATAGGTGCAGTTTATGTTCAGTCTCTTCTTCCCTCAATTTCCCCAATAGTAAATCCCTTTTCAGATAGTAAATCAGTTACTTAGCATTTTCTCATATCAATAATACCTCCACATGCCCAATGATACACTTCACACAAAAGACATTTCCCAATAGGTCCACCAGCCTCATCCAGGCCCCACCCAAGGCACTCACAGATCAACACCCCAGTCCTAAACTAACTCAACACATCCAGATCTAAGCCTTCATCACTTGATTCAGCAGACCCTCAAGTTCCCACGAAAGTTTCCAGCCATGTCTGAGAAGCAGCCGTGGGGCAGGGGCAGGCAAGGAGCGAGCTGTTCTGGGCCTGGCTGCTCAGGGCCTGGCCTCTGTTGCTCTGGTTCATTCCACAACCAGCTGCTCCGGGTCTGGTCACTAGCATTCTTAATAAAACAAGAATAGATGGACACATATTGAACATCGTACCTGCCCCAATCCAGCATTGTGCGAGTGGAGAAATCTTAGAAGCTTCTCATTTAAAAAAAAAAAATGTATTTTACTGATTTTTTTACAGAGAGGAAGAGAGAGGGATAGAGAGTTAGAAACATCGATGAGAGGGAATCATCAATCAGCTGCTTCTTGCACACCCCCAACTGGGGATGTGCCTGCAACTGAAATACATGCCCTTGATCGGAATCGAACCTGGGACCTTTCAGTCCGCAGGCCAACACTCTATCCACTGAGCCAAACCGGTTTTGGCAGAAGCTTCTCATTTTTCTTTTTTAAATATTACTTCCTGGATTTGTGATTATGTCACATCTCATTTTTAAAAATATATTTCATTGATTTTTTTACAGAGAGAAAGGGAAAAGGATAGAGAGCTAGAAACATCGATGAGAGAGGAACATCGACCAGCTGCCTCCTGCACACCCCCTTCTGGGGATGTGCCCCCAACCAAGGTACATGCCCTAGACCGGAATCGAACCCGGGACCTCTCAGTCAGCAGGCTGATACTCTGTCCACTGAGCCACATGGGTTTCGGCAGCTTCTCATTTTTTAATGAGAAAAGGGACTAAGCAAGAACGTGTTTGACCCTTTCTATTTTTCACTGTACCAGGGTCAGTAGCCAACCCTACTATACAAGACAAAGAAATTAAGGAATAAAATTTCCAAAGTAGGAAGTAAAAGTATCATTTGCAAGTGATACAATAGTATCACTGGAAAAACTGAGACTACATTGAAAACCCGTTACATAGAGTCAACAGCTTTTATACAAATAACCTCTATTTTTGAAAGAAAAGACTCGACAAAAAAGGTTACCTGTCCAGAAATAAACTAAAAGAATGTGTGGGATCTAAAGGAAGCAAATATTAAATCATGCCTGAGGGGCGCCCAGGAGTGGGAACACACCGAAAGGGACAGGCCAAGCTCCTGGAGGGAGAGACGCCACCCTCTCTGCCTGCACTGATTTCCAAGTGCACCGCGGTCCCAGGAAGAACCCAGACAGGATTACTGTTCTCGCCCAGATAACCTGACTCCGTGGCTCAGACAGAAATAAACAGAGAAAAACAGCCCGGAAGTCCCGCGTTGGGGGGAGGGGGGAGTAATGAGGAATGGCATCAGCAGGTGTGAGCGTGTGTTCGTGCGTTACACTCCGGCCACGCCATGGCTGCCCCTCGCACGTTCTGCTCAGCGAAGGATCCGGTCCCCATCGGCCGCCATCGCAGATTCCCTCCTGTGAAGGCCCAAAGGGGGGGCTACAGAGAAGGGAGGGCGGAGGGGCGGGGAGTGACTGCTCCTGGTCAAGACGGGGTTTCTTGCTGAAGTGACAAAACGCTCTAAAATGGACCGAAACATTCTAAAAACCCCTACTGTGTGCACTGCCGATGGGGGATGGTGCGGTATGTGAACCACATCCCGACAGAGGCGTTCAAACATTGAAAATGTCCGGTAACACTGCAATAATTAAAATAGTGCTGCACCGACGCGAAGAAACTTCGGCTCCGCACCTCGAACTTTCCGCCAGAGGAAGGACGAAACAATCAGACATCCTAATATTTAAAAAGTTAAACCATAAAAATACTCGAAGAAACCCAGGGGGAGCGGCTTTCAGGACAGAGACCCTCCAATGTCACACACGGAAGGACGTTCTACGTCTGCGACGACATCCAAAGGCCGCGGGGATGAAGGAAAGGACGACAGAGCTCACTCCGCGAGGAGAATTCCTCCTGGGGGAATCAAAGGCAGATGACAGAGCGGGGAAAACACCTGCAAGGCGTAGGACAGACAGAGGCCCACAGCAACGGCAACAGGACAACCTGATTGGGAAAACGGGCCGCAGAAACACACAGAGGAGACAGACAGCCACGTCACAAACGCACACGCCTCTGACCCAGCACCCCCACTTCTGGAAATGTGTCCTGTAGCCACACTCCGGGGCCCACACGCCATGCTTCACCGCTGCACGCTTATGGCCGCGGGCCTGGCCTAGCTCTACTGAGGCGACGGATCAGGTAATGGGGGACCGTCCTTGAGGCGGCAAAGGGATGAGGACGCTCTGACTGCTGACATGCAGGCTGTGTCACTGGGTGGAAAAGCGAGGGCCAGGTCAGTGTGTGATGTATGCGTGTGCACACGCGTATGCTGGGACGTGCACAGCACAGCTCTCGGAGGCACACACGGGAAGCTGACAACCCTGGCTGCCTCTGGCAGGGGGTGCCGGGCAGTGAGGGAAGGAAGGTTGGGTCCGTGTATCCCTTCATCCCTTTTGAATACTGGACCCTAGGAATGTATGCGCTGAAGATAAACACGCCTTAAACAAGCAGAGAGCGGCAGTGTGAGCACAGTGATACTGGACTGAGCCCGTGCCGTCGGAGAGGCGACAGGGAGGGGCCGGGACTGTGGTGAACTGGAGGGGTGTCCCCTTTAAGAGGCAGCAGGTCAGTTCTAGCCCACAGCCCTGTCCAGGGACACAGGCCTCTCACTGGATCCTCTTTTTATCTCAAGAGACACCAGAAGTCCATATTTTTATTCAAATCTCCCCGTTTTTAAATGTTTCCAAGTTCTTCAAAATTAAAACAAAACACCCAACCCGGGGGCGGCCAGAATAACCCGATCCCTGTCCCAGTCACGGAGGACAGAGGCCCAGCAGGCCCTGCGCGGACTCGCCCTCCAGGCCCGAGAGGGAAGGGCGGCCCAGGGCACAGCAGCCGGGCGGCGGGGCCGCCCAGGACCACTGCTCCACATCATCCCGGTCCCTGCGAAGCCATGGCACAGGCAGCGGCACAGGAGGGGCTGGGACTGGGCCATGGCGCTGGCAGTGGCCAGAGAAGGCCGGGGAAGTGGCCACACCCCGCGGGAGTTGGCCGGACAGGAGGAGTGGGTGCCACTACCGGGAGGGGCCCCAGCGGGCAGCACGGCCCGGGCAAAGGCCTCTCGGAACAGAGTTCAAGACAGGCTCAGGGAGGGGGCACGCTGGGCTGAGGGCCGAGTCCACACCGAAAGGAAGCCCGTGGGCTCGGTGGGCAGAGCAGGCGGAGGCGGAGGGCAGGGGCGCGGAGGGGGCAGGGCGCGGTGCCACTCACACTTGCGCAGCTCCAGGCTCTTGCTCGGGCAGGCCAGGCGCTGGCCCGGGGGGTTCTGGGTCCTCTGCAGACAGGCCAGCATGGCTGAGCTGGGCCCGCGGTGCGGCGTGCTCTGCGGAGGGTCCCTGTGAGAAGGGAGGGGAGGGGGTCACACACTGCTCCATGCCCACAGCCCCTCCCACCCCCTTCAGCTGGGGGCGCTGCCCGCAGCCTCCCCCGCCCCGCCTGCCCCCGCAGAACCGGACACAGCAGACCCTCCTCCCAGACAGCAGGAGGCTCCTGGGGCTACAGGAAGGGAGGGGCCAGTCCCTGAGGGATGGAGCAGACCTGCCCAGCCCTGCCCAGAGCGCACCCCCTCCTCCAAGGACACCCCAGCCCTGCCCAGAGCGCACCCCCTCCTCCAGGGACACCCCAGCCCTGCCCAGAGCGCACCCCCTCCTCCAGGGACACCCCAGCCCTGCCCAGAGCGCACCCCTTCCTCCAGGACCTGCCCCAGCCCTGCCCAGGCCCTCCTTCCTCTCTTCCCAGCGGGAGCTGAACCAGGGCCCCAGATGTCCAACCAGCCCAGGCACCCTGTCCCCACCAGCCTCTACCCCCCCAACACACACACACACACACACACACACACACACACTCACACACACACACAGACACACACAGAGACAAACACACTCACACTCACATATACACACACACCACACACACTCACACACACACACACAATCACACACATACACAATCACACACACTCACACACACACACACTCACACTCACACAGACACACACAGAGACAAACACACACACACCACACACACAGACACACACACACACACAGACACACACACACACACACACACTCACCCACACTCACACTCACAGACACAGACAGACACACACATACAGACAAACACACATACACACACCACACAGACACACACAGAGACAAACACACACACACACCACACACACACACACACACACACACACACACACACACGAGTCCCAGGCAGCCGAGCTGGGCCAGCACGATCCTCATGCTGGTTTTGAGAGAGAAGAGAGAGAGGGAGAGAGAGAATGTGTGTGTGAGTGTGTGTGTGTGTGGGGGTATGTGTGTGTGTGGGGTATGTGTGTGTGTGGGTATGTGTGTGTGTGTCTGAGTGTGTATGTGTGTGGGGGGGTATGTGCGTGTGTGTGTGTGTATGTGTGTGTGTGGGGTATGTGTGTGTGTGGGGTATGTGTGTGTGTGGGTATGTGTGTGTGTGTGGGGGTGTGTGTGTGTGTGTGTGGGTATGTGTGTGCGTGTGTGTGTATATGTGTGTGGGGGTATGTGTGTGTGTGGGGTGTGTGTGTGTGGGGGGGGGTATGTGTGTGTGTGGGGTATGTGTGTGGGGGTATGTGTGTGTGTGTGTATGTGTGTGTGGGGGTATGTGTGTGTGTGGGGTGTGTGTGTGTGTGTGTGTGCGCGTGTGTGTGTGGGGGGGTGTGTGTGTGGGGTATGTGTGTGGGGGTATGTGTGTGTGGGGGGGTATGTGTGTGTGTGTGTGTGTGTGTGTGGGGTATGTGTGTGTGTGTGGGGTATGTGTGTGTGTGGGGGTATGTGTGTGTGTGGGTGTGTGTGTGTGGGGGGGCGGGGTATCTAAGGGGAAGAAAGAAGTTACTTAATACTGAACAGGTGCCTGAGCCCGCATTCTGCTGCTCCCCATAATGAAGCATTCATGAGCAGCCTCTTTCACTGCTTCTGAGGATCCTAATTCACAACAAGCTCCTTGTTCCGCGCAATTATCCCCGCACCCCCCCCCCCCCCGCAGCCGCCGCCTCCCGCAAACGAGACAATCACACCACCTTTCATTGCGCCCATTTTACCCCGCCAAGCCAAGGTGCCTCAAAGAGTGATTCACACTGAGAGGGACTGTTCTTCATTTCAAAACCAATTTTCTCCTATTCCGTCTAAAATGAGCGAGAGAGAGAGAGAGAGAGAGGCCGGATGGGGAGGGGGTCCCCCCCCCGGGGGGTCCGTCCCCCCCCCCCCCCGCCAGCTTAAAAGCAGCAGCATCCACTCGCTGTCGGTGTCCGGTGATGGTACAGGCGCCATCACCACCAGGCAGGAACCACACCGTTGAAAAGGAAGAGTGGCCGAAGCTGGTTTGGCTCAGTGGATAGAGCATCAGCCTGGGGACTGAAGGGTCCCGGGTTCAATTCCGGTCAAGGGCATGTACCTGGGTTGCAGGCACATCCCTGGTGGGGGGTGTGCTGGAGGCAGCTGATCGATGACTCTCTCTCATTGATGTTTCTATCTCTCTCTCTCCCTTCCTCTCTGTAAAACATCAATAAAATATATATAAAAAAGTTTTTTGTTTTTTTTTTAAGGGAGAGAGTGGGCTTATCCCAGAGATTAAAGCCCTTCCCTGCAGGACCAGGCACTCCTTGGGGACTTGGGACATGAGTGGGCGGGGAGCAGCCTGATGGGCCCTCAGGACCCCCTGACCCGGGGGCACCCTCTGCCCGGCTCAGACCCCGGGCCGTCCGAACCCGCCTCCGCACGGGCCTCCCCATCCCACTCCGGGAGCTCCTCCCGGCCCTCTCACTGCCTACGTTTCCTGCAGACGCACACCGCTGTCCCGCCCGCAGCCACACCATGTGACACCCTGCTGCGCCCTCTGGCACCCTCTCACGCACACCATGTGGTCCATGGACACGCACCCTCTCGCGCACACACTCAGTCCACAGACACACACCCTCTCACACACACCATGCGGTCCACGGACACACACCCTCTCACGCACACCATGCGGTCCACAGACACACACCCTCTCACACACACATGCGGTCCACAGACACACACCCTCTCACACACACATGCGGTCCACAGACACACACCCTCTCACACACACATGTGGTCCACAGACACACACCCTCTCACACACACACACATGCAGTCCACGGACACACACCCTCTCACACACACACATGCAGTCCACAGACACACACCCTCTCACACACACACACAGTCCACGGACACACACCCTCTCGTGCACACACTCAGTCCACAGACACACACCCTCTCACATACACACACAGTCCACGGACACACACCCTCTCGTGCACACACTCAGTCCACAGACACACACCCTCTCACACACACCATGCGGTCCACGGACACACACCCTCTCACACACACACACAGACCACGGACACACACCCTCTCACGCACACACAGTCCACAGACACACACCCTCTCGCGCACACACATGCAGTCCACAGACACACACCCTCTCACGCACACACAGTCCACAGACACACACCCTCTCACACACACCATGCGGTCCACGGACACATACCCTCTCACACACACACAGTCCACAGACACACACCCTCTCGCGCACACACATGCAGTCCACAGACACACACCCTCTCACACACACACGCAGTCCACAGACACACACCCTCTCACACACACACACAGTCCACGGACACACACCCTCTCGCGCACACACTCAGTCCACAGACACACACCCTCTCACGCACACCATGTGGTCCACGGACACACACCCTCTCACACACACACAGTCCACAGACACACACCCTCTCGCGCACACACATGCAGTCCACAGACACACACCCTCTCACACACACATGCAGTCCACGGACACACACCCTCTCACGCACACCATGCAGTCCACGGACACACACCCTCTCACACACACACAGTCCACAGACACACACCCTCTCGCGCACACCATGCAGTCCACGGACACACACCCTCTCACGCACACCATGCAGTCCACGGACACACACCCTCTCACGCACACCATGCAGTCCACGGACACACACCCTCTACCGTACACACATGCAGTCCACGGACACACACCCTCTACCGTACACACATGCAGTCCATGGACACACACCCTCTCACACACACACATGCAGTCCACGGACACACAGCCGTGTGCACCCCTGGGGGGTAAGAGGCCTGTGCGTCCCCTTCCCCCCGCACACAGCCCGCCTCTCCCCACTCCGGCCCAGTGCAGGGTCCACGTCTGCCCTGACGCAGGGGCTGGCGGAGGAGACCTGGGGAAGGCAGCTGCTGCAGGCCCAGCCTCGCCCTCCGCAGACAGGGAACCCCAGCCGGAGCCGCAGCAGCCTGCCGGGCGGCCGCAGCAGCGGCTGGGCGAGCGCCCTCTGCCCCTGGCTCCTCTGCTGCCCGCAGCCGGCAGGCCTGGGCCGGAGAAGAGGGAGCCCGCGGCCTCGTGCCCGAGAAAGCTGGCTGGAGCCCCCAGCCAGTGCCACTGTGACCCCGGGAACTGTGCCCTCTGACACACCGCCCCCAGGGCCATGCATCCCAGCATGCTTTGCAGCTGAATCCCAGGCTGGCACTTCAGTCGTTGGCAGCGGCGGGCAGCGAGGCTCTGTCTGCAGAGGCTCTTACGGCGGTGCCCAGGCCGTTCTGGGAGCCGGAAGGCCACCTGCCCCAACATGGGCCCCAGGATTCCCCTGAGGCCTCACTGGCCTGTCGGAGCAGCCGCCTGACTCACCCCTGACCTCCGGACCCGGCAGGAGGGGTGCTGCCGCCGGGTCTTCACTCCGAGAGGCGATGTCTCCGCACCCCGCTCCCTACCTCCCCGTGCGTCCTCCTGTGCCCCTGGCTGGGCAGGCCCGCCATGCCGAGGGCCCGCACGTGCTCCCAAGCACCCATCAGCTACGTTCAAGACAAGATCCCTCCTCGGCCTCACCCCTCTCTCTGGCCTCGGAACAGAGCCCACCCTCACGGCCGGCCTTCATGCCCCACGGCTGCCTCTCCCCACTCCTAAGCCTCCCTCTAGCCTGGCTGCCTCACCCTCCAGCCACTCCTGTGCCGGTCCCTCGGCCTCAGCTCCGCCACCGACCACGTTAGCGCCCCCTTCGCCTCCCTTTCCCCGTTCCCCCCTCACGGCGGTCACTCCGAGCTGAAGCAGCCAATTCTCAGACTGGTGGAGTCTGTCTCTCTCCACCAGACTCTGAGTTTCTCAGGGGCAAGGACCAAGTCTGACTTGTTTCTTTCTTCCTGGGGCTTGGCAAAGAGTAACCATTTAATAAACAGGCGC